ATATATAAAACTTATAATATCATATAATTTAAAATAAATTTTTTCATATTTAAATATTTATAAGTTAATTTAAATTTTACTTAAAATTTGATTTGAATTTGACTCAACTCAAATAAATTCAAGTCAAAATTGAGTCAAGTTAAACTCGAGTTGAGTCAAATTGAGTCAAGTTTAAAATTTATAATTCAAATCAGGTCAAGATGAAAGATTTTATAAAATAAATTTGACTTGACTCAACTTGAAAAAAATGAGTTAAATAGAATTTATCTTTAAACTCGACTTGACTTGACTCATTCAGAATACTAATTAGAATAATTTATTATTATTTAAAAATGATAGTTTTATTATTTGCGAATGATGATTTATTATTAGAGAATGATGTTTTATCGTTCAATTAGAATGATTCATTATCATTCGAAAATAATATTTTATCATTCAATTAGAATAATTCATTATTATTTGAGAACAATAGTTTATCATATTTGAATGATAATTTTATTGTTCAAGAATGATAGTTTTATCATTTGAGAATGATGTTTTATTATTTGAAAATAATGATTTTATCATTCAAGAACAATATTTTATTATTTAATTAGAATGATCCGTTATCATTTGAGAATAATATTTTATCATTCAATTAGAATGATATATTATCATTCAAGAATGATGATTTATCATTTGAGAATAATGGTTTTATCATTCAAGAACAATTTGAGAGCAATGGTTTTATTATTTTTGAATAATAATTTTATCATTCTTAAATGATGATTTTATCATTCAAGAACAATAGTTTTATCATTTATAAGAATGATTTGTTATTATTTGAGAACGATAGTTTTATCATTCAAGAATAATAATTTTATTATTCAAAAATAATGTTTTATAATTCGATCAGGTCAGATTAGATCAGGTCAAATAAAAATTTAAATCAGGTCAGATTTTTGTTTGTCCTAATCTGATCCTCTTAGTTCAGGTAATTTGATTGATCTGACCTGAACTGACCTGTTCAAAGCTCTAATCATATCAGTTTATCTTGTTTTATTATTTATAAATTTTAAATAAGAATAATAATAAGGTAAGAAATAAATTAAATTTAAATAAAAATAATGTTAACTGCAGTATATTTTGTTAATCATTTAGATGTAAGAGCGAAAGAATTTTTTTTCATAGTAACTGTCTTTTTTTAGCTTCTTTCTTTCAAAAAAAATCATTTTTTAAAACTGATGTTTTTTCTGGCTCATGATATTTCAGAGCTGATCATTATTAATAATTTTTGAAAGTTATGAACAAACATGATAATGATAAGAAACTATACAAAACATCTTCTTTCTTGTACTAATAATCTATAATAAATATAGAAAAAGAATATTTCTGATTATCTGATCATTAAATCATTTTTTAAATAAGATTTTACGAAACTCAAGCCATTATTTACATGCTTAATAATAATTTAATCTTTGATAAAACATCAACTAAATAAAGAATTTTTATAAGAAATGATTCATGTAATTTTTAAAGCCTGTATAATTTAACTTTAAATTTTACTTTATTTTTTTCATAATGAGCAACAATGTAGTATGATCACTTTTATAAATCTTAATTTTATATTTAATTTTTGATATAATTATTTTAAGTTCATTTAGAAAGAGAATTTAACAATGTAAACAAACTAACATTATTTATTTTTATATGTTAATATCTTTATATTTTAAGTTTAAGATTAATAAATCTAAATTATATGCAAAAAACTTTTTATGGTTCAAACATGTTACAATTTAATTTCTTTTTTTTTCTATTTTTTTTTATAAATTTATGTTAAGAAAACTTATTATTTTTTTATTTTTATAGTAAAATTAAATCAATAATATATTTTCATTAATATATAATTATTGATTTATTATAATTATTTTTTTTGGTTCATGTTTGTTTTTGATCATTATAAGTTCATTGTTAATTGAAATTTTTTTTTATTAAGAATTTGGCAATATTCACCTATTGCATTAATATCTTTTATACAATCAAATGGCAGAAATGTCAGAGACTATATTAGCACTATTAGAGATTATATCTGAATACGTTCTTGGTAGTCTCCTGGCCATTGCAATTATGGGAGATTCGCTCTATAGTAATTTTCGTGAAAAGATTATGTGGTGCTTAGGTGTCTTGGATGCCCTTTTGATGGTCTCTTTCACTCCCTCAACGTTGGAGGTAATGAAGTATCCCGCTGCATAGGGATGCTAATGGTCACAGTCATGACTGATTATAACTGATCATAATCGTGACTGATATCAGTCGGTCAAAAGCTTCTGACTGACCGGTTGACTGACCGATTCTGACTGATTTTGACCGACCGGTTGACCGACTGACTTGAGACTGAACAACCATGTTTTAAATGGTAAAAACATTTTGTATTAAATTAACAAAATCAACATTTTATTTTAATTATCTATAAATTAATATTTTGAAATTTTGAAAAAAAAAATAAAGTCCGCGATAATGCTGCGCTACTATATAAAAATGACATAGTAGTTTAAAAAAAATGTCATGCTAGTATAGTTAAAGCATTTGGCTAAATTAAAACTTTCTATTAAGCCAAAACTGCTCAATTATATTACTATTAACCGGTCGGTTAGTTAAAATCGGTCAGTTAACCGGTCGGTAGGTCAAAGGCCTTCGAACGACTATTGACTGACCGGTGACCGACCACGACCGACCGTTACCATCCCTACCGCTGCATATACTGGCTTTCAGAATATAACTTTGCAGTCGTGGAGCACACAAATAACGAAGAAGAAACAAACGACAAAGAAGTCACAAAAGGAACAGATCGTCATCCAAAATACAGACCTTTTGGATTTCATGCAATGAAACTAAATATAGAGAAAAAT